CACTGGCCCTCATATGTGGGATCCGAACCGGGCCCTCTGGCGTCCCAAGCCAGTTCTTAACCAACACGCCACTCGGCCGGCCCGCAAACCTTATTTTTTAAGGGCCTGGAGGGATTTCCGAGATCCTGCTATCTCATCCCTTCATTTCATAGCTGAGGCCCCAGAGTGGATTTGGGATGGCTGAAGACTGGACTTAGACCAAGGGAGGTGTGGATCCCCAGCACGGGGCAAGAGTAACGTATTTTCCACGACAAGGGTGGCCTCTCAATTCCCCATGAGCACAATTTCAGACCAGACTGTGGACCCCTCCCCACCTCCGCTTGGGCAGGAGACCTTTCAGAGCAGGGAAGGCTTGATGAGAAGTCCAAGCTGTGTGTCTCCAAGGCCGAGGGAGAGGCAGCCCAGAGTATCTGATTTCTGATTCCTGCCCTGGGCTGCCTGGTGTTTTCACCCCATGGGCCCTGCTTCCCAGGGCTGAGCCTGAGCCCGAGGCCCCAGGGCCTCAGCTGGACCAGGGAGGGCAGCCAGGGCTCCTTGTGACCAGCTCTCCCTCCCAAATGCTCCAGAGGCACCGGCTGAGAAGGCAGCGCACTGAGAGATTTGTTGGCAAGGTTCTGCCCATGCTCTCAGGTTCCTGCCTCCTTCTCTCGGTTGCTCTCTCACCCTCACACCCACCTACCACACAGCTGGGCTGTGGGCCAGCAAGGCACTTATTGGAAAGCCTTTCATTCCAGGCCAGAGGTTACCCAGAGGCCAGGCTAGGCCCGAGAGTAGGCCCTATCCTGAATTGAATTCTATCTGCACCTGCAGCCGACCTGGGCAGCTTCCCGAGGGGAAAAGACATATGCCCATTCAGTAAGTATGCACATGATTTACATGCAAAGCGCCAACGGGGCACAAAAGTCAGGCAGCCAGCTTGGACTGGGCCCGGGCCTGGGCCAGGTTCCAGGTTGGCCCACTCCCCCAGCTCCAGCTCTGAACCCTTTGCTGTTCACAAAGGACCCCCTCCTCCTCCCTTTCCTGCCAGGGCAGTGGGCAGTGAGGGCATTACAAGTACACAGCTTAGGGTTCGAATCCCAGTCTGGCCCAATATGCTCAATTGTCAAAGCTCTTATCTGTAAAATGAGTCTAGACCACTGGGCCAGGATACTGGGGAGCCACCGCAAGTTCCTGAGCCTGGATAGGTGCATCATATACAAGCCCGGCCTAAATGCATCTGATACAGACATCTGTACGTGCCTGGCACAGAGCAAATACTTGACAAATCAGCTCATTGGTTATTTCTGGGGTCCCTTAGCTCACTTTGAAACACTGGCCTAGCCCGGGAGATGCAGGTTCAAAGCCTGGCTCCATCATGTACTAGGTGTGTCCCAGGGCAAGTCACTGTACATCTCTGAGCCTCAAGTTCCTCAACTGCAAAAGGGGGATGACAGTAGGACCTACCTTATAAGGCTGCAGGAAGGGTTAAATTGGGCAGTAAATAGAAAGTACCCACAATGCCGGGTACATGTGGGCTTTACCTAATAAACAGAAGCGTAGTACTCCTTACCCCCAAGTGGCCCTGGGCAGCCCCTCCACAAAGTCTTCTGGGGTCACAGGCCCGTGGCGCTCCTGCACTATTGGCCTCTCCCCTGCCTTGCAGGCAGCGTGGGCACGAGGCTGTAGTTTGCAAAACCCTTGGCCCAACTTAAAAGAAAAGCATCACATGGGTCTGCTGCTGAGGCCATCAACATACCTGACCTGGGTGTGTACCTGCCTCCAAAAGGGTCTTTCTACCTCCAGGACCTCTTTCCTTTCCCTCCAATTCACCCTGTAAATTGTTGCCTGACCTGTCTTCCTAAAACCAGATCCCACTCTGTCCCTCCCCAGCTCAGGAACCGGCAATGGCTTTGCAGTACCCACGCAATAAGGGGGTGCTGGGGGGTGGTGGCGAAACCTTTTGGGTCTGACTCCAAAGAATCCTGGCTAATCTCATCTCCCATCAAGCTCTGTTTCCTGGAAACACATTGCAAGCTCCTGCCTCCATACCTTTGCGTGTGTGGTCTCCTTTGCCAAGAAAGCGCCTCCGTGCATCTGGGCATACTCAAAGCCCATACATTTTTCAAAGTCCACCTTCCACTGGCAGCCTTCCCTGATTCTACCCAGCAAACCTCCTCCTGCCCAGAGAGCTCCCACAGCACTTTCTTGGGCCTCCCACTCAGGCACCCACCACTCCAGCCCTGCATTGTAGGGTTTTGTCTCACCCTCTAACTAGACTGTGAGTTTCTTTTCTTTTCTTTTTTTAAAAGATTTTATTGGGGAATTGGGGGAGGGGAACAGACAAATTGCTGTCCTTTTGTTCTTCAGTCTAGTTGTAGAGGACGTCGCTTCACTGGCCCATGTTGGTATTATCATTGCGCTCTTCCGGAGTGAGGCAGTCGCTCGCCAGCCATTGGACGGCCGCTCACGGCGGCTCACTGGCAGCTCACGAAAGCTCACGCCAGCTGCCGGCCAGGCCCACTGACAGCAGCCTATGCCATCGCCGGTGACTCATGGCAGCCCAGCTCCAGGTTGAGCTGTTGTTCACCATCTTAGCTGTAGAGGGCGCAGCATCACTGGCCCTCATGTGGGATCTGAACCAGGGCCCTGCTGCTCAGAGCTGGCATCCCAAGCCAACTGTTAACCAACGCGCCACTTGGCCGGCTCTAGACTGTGAGTTTCTTGAAGCCAAAGGTTCCCACTGCCTCTCTTACACTCCTTCCCTGCTTTGTGTCCAAGCAGCCCCAAAGGCCAGAGCTCCCAACCCAAATGGGCCATTCGCCATTCCCTGTGGCCCCTTCACATGCCTGGACTTCTGTGACAGTTCTACAAATGGCTAGGAATTGCCTTCCCATCCTACCTTCTCCTGTGGAAATCCAGAGCCCACCCCAAACGCCTCCTTGCCGTTGAGACCTCCACCCACCCCATGGTCTGCATGAAGTCTTACCCTCCCCT